CCTCATCCGAAAGGTCTGCCGTGAACGGGCACGAACGTCAACGACACGCGATTGGCAAACGAGCGCGAGGATCGCGAGTAAAACGTTCGCCGTGCTGGCCGCGCGACCGACCTTTTGCTAAGTAGAACGAGAATAGAGTTACGCACAGTCACGATAGATTTTCGGCCTGCACGCCGACATAGACACGGTTTCGCTCCTGAAATAGATCGAAAAGCCTGGCTGCGATCGTGACCCGACGCCGCGCGTCCGTCTCGAAACCGTCGGAAGTTCGTTTCGCGTGGGACGACTCCATTAATCATCGACGAGCACGGGGGGGTGGAACGCGCGGCCCTGGATATCGTCGGAGACACGCAGAAAACGAAAACGTCACCGACGATCGCAAGCTGCAGGACCGAATGCCAAAAAAATTCAGTCGAATCCCATTTCTGAGCAGCGGACGATAGAAATAATAATTGCTTCACCGTTTTGGGGTGATTCGAGGCACCGAAGAGTTAGGATGAGGCTTAATTTTCTTGGCTTAACCCTTTCGAAACAGTCATGGTTAACATCATGATTTTAGGTTGTAAGTTTGCAGTATTTTTGCAACGACTCCAAGACTAAGTTTTCTTCCAACCGTACACTGAACGTCTATAGACGTACTGATAGCTCGATGGTGTTTGAGAAGTCGATTAAAAATTATTCCGAGATGGACCCAATGCGACAATCTTTGGCGTATCGTCGACGAGTACTATGAAACTGAGGAATTGCTAACTCTGGAACACTCGGTTTACGTAAACTAGATAGCATTACGTGGAGGAGCGATCGAGGAGCACACGATCGCCCATGAAAGTCCACGCACACCTTGTATATTTTAAATATTAAACTCTGTACTGCCACGATCTACTTGGACTATAATTAATATTTGAACCGGATTGTAAACGTAGGTGTTACCGTGACCGTACAATTTCCATATATTTTGAGTGTTCATGCTCTATTAAACGGATGCACGCAGACTGGTGTGGCTGATCGTAAACGATAAAACCAGGTCGTGGTTTCAGCGTAAAGAGAATTACCTTGGATGCAACGCATATTGTCTTCCACAGAGTGGTCAGTTAGAACTAGGTCACCTTAATATCTTCCGTTGAAAGACAGATGGTTTCAACAACTACGACATATCAAAAATAGCATTTCCCTGAGGCCACTTGTCTCGGAACTAACAGGGTCGCTGGTATTTTTTTTTTAGACGTATCGATGTAAACTGAAAGCGTCGAGGGCCAGAGAATTCCACCAAAAGATAAAAGCTTTGGCCTCTCGAGGGCCAATTAATTTTTTGATAAAACACTTTTTCCCACCCCTTCGCTACGAACCGAACGGAAGACATTAAGGTGGCCCGTCTCCAACTGGGCCATTCCGCGTTACTCGCGACAGAACCGGACAACATTTTTTCGATCTTCGCTCCTCGATCCCGTCCATCGCGATCGGCGAACAAACTCCCATCGACGGGTTCACCCCGGTGCAATTTCCACTACACAAACGTCACCACGGCTCACCGTAATTATCAGGCTGCTTCGAGGAACCCGGCAAGCCAGCGGTGGCCGACATTTCGAAGACTTCAACAACTTTTCCCTCTGAATCGCATTTATCACTATCGGTCCGCCCGTTTCGAAGCACTTTTTCCACGGCGTCCGCGGGCGTAGAGAAATCGAACGGAAAAATAAGCAGAAAAAGAGAGGGGGAAAAAAAAGACACAGAGAACTGGCACGTTTGAAAAGTCGAGGACGCGGCGAGGATCTCGCGAGCGAGTCTTCCGTCCCCGGAAGAGGGAGAGAGGAAAATCGACGATCGACCAGGTTTTATCGCGGTTCGCGCGACCGGCCTCTAGGACGGCCGAACGAACGACGCGAACTGCTGCCAATCTATTTTCAAGCGGTGCCAAGCGGCCAGGTATTTCCGTTGACAGCTGGCCACGCGCTCGGCGCGATCCTCCGCGATGTTTCCGCGACCATTACCCGTTTCTCCGCTCGATTCCGGCGAAATTCCACGACCCTGCCTCGTTTCTTCAACGCACCCTCCGTCACGACACGATTTCTCGAATTAATTCCATTTAAACGCACAGTGGTGTCCGTGGAAGCTTGTTCCAGGATTTTCTTAACTGTTGCACGTAAATAAACTCGTCCATTGATGCAAATCGTAGACAATACTAAGTGGTGGGGACGTATAAGCGGGGAGACTCGTGACCAGTTAAGCGGACACCACTGAATGATATCGTGTTTGGACTCATCTTTCAAGGCTCAGTTCAAGAAAAGAGGCAGCCATTTTTGCGTCCCTCTAGCTCAGCGACGGCTAAACATCAGCCCCCGTACAACACGGTAGCCACGTTTCCAAAGAGTGCCGTGTTGTACGGTATCGAAGATCACTAAGAAGCAAAAGTAGATTTCAACGAACATAATTTGTATTTCAACAACGAACAATTTTCACAACAAATTTTACTTCAGCTTAAAGTGCATTTATCTAGGACATTTAGTCAACATTTTTGAACTATAATAACGTGAAAAGAAGTACAATTTTCCTGGGGTCATTTTACAAGTTCTATCGTTACAATCTTAAGTTGAATTTCCTCGAAAATCCTCGGTCCGACAGACGCTTCTAATTCAAACTGTTCCCAGAAGTTTGAAACGTTTCTTACGCGACTAAAACTACCATAAATTCAAAGACTGAAATCTCCCTTTTAAAACAACCAAAGTCGATATTTTAAATTCAGTTTTACTCCATTTCAATGAGGAAAGACTTTGATTTTCGAAGAAATTTAACCTAGGAAAGTATGATAAAAATAGAGGACCCTCGAAATGGCCACCGGGAACTAATCGTAAGACTTCTTTTCGCGTTAGGACAGTCCAAACAACGTTTCTAACGTTCGCGACCGATGGCGTGCCTGATTTTATCTCGTTCTGGCACGCGAAAGGTTCTCGATGTGCCGTCACTGCTCTAGTTAATGAAATCTAGCGACCCCGAAGCGGACCGTTTCGTCTAAACGATGAATGGGAGAACATCGCGCAAACTGGGGAATGTTGGCTAGATGAATGATCCTCGGGGAGAAAAATAATCGACCGATCGGGAGTTGGATTCGAGCGGGAATCTATCATTCAATCTCGCCGACGAATCTATCCAACCCGTCGACCTTATTCTCCCTCTGTTCCGTTCCTATTAATGGGGATTTAAACGAATAACAGCAGAATGATCTGGCAACTATCGAACAGGGGCGGAGGAACGATCTACGCAAGATTCTCTACGATGGGGGACTACGTCTACGCGAAGAACCATTCAGAAACGAACTGGAGAACGATGCACAAAACACTATCCGTTCAATACGAGATGGATAAACTCTCCGAAAAGCCACTACGTCGAATATTGCTTATCATTGCCAAGCTGTCGGGTGTTTCTACCCAAGGCGATGACGTGGTGATTCGTGTCGTGTTACGTGATCAAAGAAACAGTGAACTGCTTTTGGAGAACGGCGTACACACATATATTATTCGTTTCGCTAAAGAGCATAACGCTGCAACAAGAACGAGTGTTCCTAAGATCGGTCTAACGCTAATTCGGATACACGGCGAACTCGTAATCGGTCGTCGTTCGAGCGTCGCGATGCTTCTCGACCCAATTCCCCTGACGCAGCGGATCCAGCAGGCCTGGCGGGTCTCGGATCGGACGTCTTCGAATGGCTAATCTCTTTCGACCGTTAATCGGTCGCTTCGTCCAGCCGTCGTGTTCGCTCGATTCTAAATCGAGCTCGCTAAACGCCGGGTAACACAAACAACAAATCCGGTGCGTTGCGTCACTAACGGTGAAACAACAGTCTAAGGCAACCTAGACCTCTAAACAGTGTCTCTCTAAACTGAACGCGGACGTCGGGGACGTGCAAAAATACGGCACACGCGCGAGTCGTTCCGCGTTTCGTTCCTCTTGATGACATTTGTCGTCGTTTGTTGTTGTTTGATTGCGCAAAAGGGAACTGCAACCCTTTCGCTAGGGCTTGGACTTACTAGTTTGATCAACAACCTGATTTGTAACGTCCAAAAAGTAAGGACATACGATACTATGATCAGCCATAGATAGCTTTGCACGAGTCTCGCGTTAGGGACTTTTTTGCCAATCTGGGGACCTCAGAGGCGGAACGGTTCGGGCGTGCGCGTTGCTTGCGAGTCCGAGGGAGGGTCGCGAGCGATCCCATCCGGATGCAGGGCGGGGGTTGCTACGATTAATTGCAGACCGATTAGAGAAAGCAACGCGCGCAACGTCCTGATTAGTTCGTGGAACGAGAGGAGGCTGGAGAGACGGTAAATCCGAAGTACGAGTTAGCGGAAGCTGGAACAGACAGGGTGTAAAAGCTCGGCTCGAAGCTCGTCATTGAGCCCCTCGTGGGATTGGCTTCTCCGATCCGCGGTTCGCTTCCGGTCCCCTCCCAACGTCCACGGAAACCGGTGCACGTTTTATGCTATTCAAGCTTCGAAACGCGATTAATACTTTCTCTTTTCGTTTTGCTATTCAACGATGGATGTTAACGTTATCGATCGGTGTTTCGGTTGTTCGGAGAAGGGCCCGTCGGCATCGCTGGGGGCACGATTGACCCGATTCACGATCGAACATTCGTTTAAACTTCGATTCTCTTTTCTTGATCGTTTATAGAAATCGCGTTCGAGTTTGGCCTTTGTCAGTTCCTCGGTCTTCCGAGTGGAGTGACGTGACCGAGAGCAATGTGGGTGAAACGGAAGTCGAACACAGAGCACAAAGGTTGGGGTACACAGGAAGCCATTGAAACACTTTCGGTCACGAGGACGGGTTTGGCGACGCGAGCACGTGGCCCCCAACTCGCGAACCGGAGAAGCCAGATTGACCGGAGGACGTTTACACGTACAGTGATACGTATAAGTGTACATACGTACACGGAAGTACATATGTATACGGAAGAACACGAGACGTCGAAACGCGAACGTTTCTCGGCCTTCGATATGCAAGTTTACCTTCGGGTTCTTTGGCAATGACCGTGCTGCTCCGGTCGACGCCGCCCTTCTTATCCTCTGCACAACATACACACATACGTCACGTATACGGATATGCGACAGTATCGATCATTTAGATATCGCCCGTTTACAAGACCGGGTCACCAGCGCTATTTATCGGAAGCTTTCTTTGTATGGGGCGTCGGTGTCGTCCAAAAAGCTGTCTCCTCTTTCGCGAGATATCTACTATTTCTAAATTCGTTTGCTTCAGTTTGAAGAGGTCATTGGATCATGTTGATAATAGGAATCTAAGATCAGAATCGCTGATGTTACAACCCTCCAAATTGGAAGTTTTGAGTATTTGATCGCGTTGATATTAGGAAGCAACGATAACTAGGAATTTAAGATTAGAATTTTAAGAGATCGAGTATTGATACCAGGAGTCGCGTACGTTGTAAATGTGAATCCTTCAAGCGGGGAATATGCGATTCTTCAATCTTGAAACGATTTTTTCGCGCGTCGTGATCGATTTACCAGCATGTTTTGCGTTTCGATTGCGGCGAAAGAAGTGGTTTGCTTTTTGGACAACCCTCAAACGACACGGCACGACGTTTTTGATCGCAATTTTTAATACGAAGTGGCTGCACTCCGTGGTCCCAGGGACAAAAATACGAACACCACTCGATACGAACGATTCTCGATCGAGCGGAAAGTGCTCGATAATTACGTAGAAAAGTGGCTCCCACGGGCGAGAATTACTTTCAGTCCAATCATGCCAGTCGCACCAATTAAGCCGACACTCAAAGCAGCGAACATTTACTATCGAAGCGTCAAACTTGACCAATTTCACCAATTCTCCCCGAGGTTCTCGTAAAACGCCACCGGAGTCCCAGCCACTCCGCGACAAAACAAAAACACTAGCTGCATCGATAATAACTAAAGTGCTCTCCCAACTTAGCGATCTCTAACGTACATCTAACGGGTGATAGAAACAGTATGTAGCAGCACTTGAGCGTATTCGGTTTATTCGTGGTTAGTCACGCGACGTAATCGGTCCAACGTATCGTATCGAATACAGGAACTCTTGTCGAGGGGTGGTAAAAAATGTCGATCGAAGGAAAACCGTGGGGGAAAGTAGAAGTCGTTCTGTCGAAGAAGTTAAACGATAAAGATTTGGACGAGTTGCGAAAGTGGATCCCTGATTTCCAATATCGAACGACTGGTATTGCTTTCGAACAATCGTGAAGTTTGCTGATAAAAGAAAATAGGAAGACAGGATTCAGATAAATCGGGAAACACTTTTACTATGGAACAAATACACGGTTAAATCTACTCGTAAATGTTATTGGATAGAAAGAATTCATTAAAAAACGAGCAAAGAAAAGTTACCAAACACAATATTTAACTAATATTATCGAATATCAGAAAATTTTTTACAGAAGTCCCTTAAATTCAGGCTCGAAGCGGCAATCGTTCGAAATTGAAAGTCCAGTGGACGAAAGCACCCTCGTGACTCGATGTTAACGAAAGCAGGAAGAGGGAGAGGGGGTTGGTAGGAGGATAAGGGTTGTTTTTTTGGTGCCGGAAGGTGCAGTTCGCGGTGAACGTGCAAACGTCGACGAGGGACACCGGGATCGATCTTTTCTCGAGGAAAGGGGTACGACGCGCGTGCAGATCGAGCGAGATTTAATCGCGACGGGGGTGGTTGGAAGTTTCTTCGGGGAAGACTTTAAAAAACTGAAGGAATTCCGGGGGATCGTGCTCGGACGAGCAAGGAGCGCGACGATTGTTTCGCTTTGCCCGGAGATTCGGTCGATTTTCGTTCGACTACGCGAAAAGTGGCGTATTGGAGGACAGAGGGGGATGACAGAGACAGCGAGGGGGTGAAAGAGTTCGCAGTTGTTCTCAAAGACAAACAAGAATATCGGAAAACGTGTCCGAGATCTCAGCCGGGATATTTGTTCAGCGAGAAATCGTCATCGAGCTCCTTGAAGTTTCTAAGACTAACAGGGGTGGTTCGGGGGTAACAGGTCTTTCTCGTTCGTTTCTCGGACAGAGCGCGAGGATTTATTGACTCTTAACCCTTTGGCTGAGTCGTCATAATCGAACATGATCGTAGAAATCAAGTGGGCTTCCTTTGGTGCGTTCGATAAACAATTGTTTTGAAAAAATAAGATATGGGGGAGGGACGCGATCTACGGTGAACTATGCAAGCAAGTGCTTAGAGAATACACGATAGGCACCATGTACAGGGTGACCAATTTAGGTGGAGACTGCGAACAATTTTGTAAACAAGTTATTTTGTAATAACTTTTACTCGACTCGGTATCCGGGAAAGCTTGGCCATCGATGCGTGGACATGCACGAGCGGGAAGGATGCATCATGCGATTCACTATGCAGAAGGGGCTCAAGCCGGCGACAATCTAGGAAATCTGCAACCTGACGTCGCGCCAAGTTGTCCCTCGATCGATGTTTCTTTCATTTATTTTTATACATCTTCAACGTCATCGAAGATACATAAAAATTGTCAACGACCAGTCTCTGCTGTTTTGTAACAAGTTTCTCTAACATTGCAATCTTTTTTCAAGAGCTACATGGTCGAAAACGTTTAAAATTTTTTACACGAGTCTTTGACGATGTTAAAGGTTCTCGTGCTCGAATAACCATCGCTTTGATGGTTTAAATTTTCACCCGAGCGTGCGATAAATCGTAGAATTTCGTGTAAAAGTTTAAACATTTTCAAGGTGGAGCTTGAAGGACGTTCGAAGACCGCTTCTACGATTTTTATTCGTAGCCGTTGCAGTTTTAGTCGATTCAAGGTTGACTCGAGCGATCATCGATCATCGAAACGACGAATTTCAACGTTTGTGGGACAGCTTCTCGCGTCGCTGACAAAGCCAGGGGGGGGGGGTGGGGGTGTCAGGAGGAGGGTGCTAGCTCGAGAAAAAAAGGAAACAAAACGAAAGGAAAAAAGCGAGCAAGGTGGAAGCCGAGAAAAAGCAAGTCAGGGGGTAGTGTTCATAAATCCATAACACCGGAGTGACGGTGAATCGTGTTCACGTGGTGTGCCGATGAGAGACTCTCGTGTGTACAGACCTAAGAGACTAAAAAAAGGGGGGATCGGGTTTTGTTTTTCCGTGTGACGAAAGATAGAGTCGATGCAGAGACAGAGAAAACAGAAAGTACGTGACAGTGACAGTGACAGTGGCAGAGACAGAGATACACACACACACACAGAAACCGGAAAATCGTTTCCAAGGCACGAGCAGCATGTGTGAGAGAGATCGTCGTGCCTCCGGTCAAAAAAAAAGAAAAAGAGAGAGAGAAAAAAAAGAAGAAAAAACATTCGGTGCACAGCGAGAGGATCCGTGTCGCGAAAGGAATAACGTGTGTACGATCGAGTGTGAACGCAATCATCGGGGAGAGAAGAAAGTGAAAAGTGAAAGAAACGAAACGGAACAGCGACATTACCAGCGTGGTGTCTTTTCTGATTTGTCTCGACTTACGCTCGTTTTGTGGTGTGTGTGAGATTGCTGACGCCTACGCTGGCATTCTCTACGACGATCTCGCGGCTAAGCTGATCTAACATTCTAGCTGGCTAATCTCTGCTCGCCGGCTCGCGGGAAACGTTCGAAAAAATGACATTTTCGAGACGATGGTCGACGATCTATGGCCTCGCTTGGCGAAAGGATCGACTACTTAAATTATTATTAGCTTTGAAATTCGTTTCGACAAACTGGAACCCACCAAAGCAAAGATTCCGACACATTTCTGGAGTCGATTCTTTCGTCGGTTTCGCTATAGCTCGACGTCGAACGAGAAACGCTCGTTATAGATCGAAGACAAGAATTTAAAATAGTTAAACTATGAAAGATACCAAAAAATTTGTAGAATCGATCGTTGACGAATGTTTGGCATTTCTCGTTCGACTTTTGGCTGCGACGAGAAGCTTCGTAACGACGAACACAAGAGTTTCTAGCGACGAGAGACGTTTCCCCCGCAAAACTAGAAAAATAAAATGGCGAAACCCGATTTTAACTTCAGGAAGCTTCGTTAACGAACATAAACTCAATTTTTCGTTATCCTTTTCACCGATGTCACAATTACTGTCTACGAATCGCTACTGCTACCATCATCATCATCTACGACACGTTAATCCTGGAAGTCGAGCACGATAAATTGCTTCCAGATGAGATTCGATTTTACTGGCAAACGATTCGTGGAACTTTTGCTAATGTGTTTTGCTAATAAATATTCTCGTCCTCCAAGGTTAACGCCCTCACTAATTTCGCTACTCCATTATCCGAGCAGCGAGCAACTACTTCCTCATTGCGCCACGCTAATCGTATTCTACATACGTGACCAAACTGACTCGATCGTGGTTTCATTTTTTAGATTGAATAGTTCACTGCTTGTCTTCAAATTTAATTGAATATTCTATGCGAGTAGGGCTGACTTCTATTACTTTCATTAGGTTTAATTGAACAGTTTGTGTCACAAGATAGATCAAAAACAAAAATCTTTCATGTTCTGGATACTCTAATAAATCTTCCTACACTCTTAAATTTCTTTATTATTAATCCTTGAGCAAAGCAAGCACATTTAACAAAGAATTACCTGTAATATCGAATTTGTAAAATACTGGAATAGTGAAATGCTTCTGGCTAAGTTCGAACAAAGTATTTTGCCAACGATCGTATGAATTTGGCCACGATTACAATTACGCGAACGGAGACAGCATGTGCACGAGACGAGAGAGACACAATGGTGGTCGTCGCGGGATTTACCTTCGTCGATCGAAGAAGAAAATGAACGGAAAGAAGATATTTAATCGGTTGTTTTAATCGGTAGCCCGATCGTTTGTATTCTGAATTTGATCGAAGAAGAATCTCGATCGCGGACGGTGGTGGACGTTCGCGGCTCGCGACCTCGATTCCATCCAACTACTCCAGTCGAATTCAGTTGAATATTCCTCGAAACGAAGTGCTGCGACCATTTGGAACACGAACGCGGAAAATGCGATCGATCTCGACTAGAATTTTAACCCACGAGTTGGGTCTTGACGTAGAATGACGCG